AACTCGGTCCCTTGCGCTTGCAAGGCAGGCGGCAGAACCGCTAAGCTAAATCCCCAGCCCTGTCCTTTTGTTCTTAGCTGTAGAAATTCTAACCCTCACCAGATACATGATTTGTAAAATATTCTCTCCCATTCTGTGCTTTATCCTCCCCACACACTTATCAAATTAAATTGCCTAGTAATTTGTCTGAGTTTATCCAAATAACCAGAATTTTTATATATTTTGATCTGGTGTTTTTTAGTTCTCTACTTCATTTCTTCTTCTTTTTGTTTCATTTTCTTGTGGTTTCTTTTGTTCTTTTTCTAATTTGATAATTTAACAATTTAATTCATTGCTTAATTTTTGATGATATAGGTTTAGGGCTATGGATTTTTCTTGGATATATGCATTTTCTTGGGATATATGCTTTATATATACCCATAGGTTCTGATATGTAGCAATTCTGTGCTTTCTGTAATTCCCTAAACCTTGGAGTTGTGAAGAATAAGGTTTTTTAAATTTTCCAGTGGAAAGCTGTAACAGTTATCAAGTTATTGCCTCTCAGATCTGAATTCACTCTTCATTGCCTGCTCTGTGAAAATGGATATGGGCCCTTTAGTGTTCATTTGCCATCTGGCACAGTGTGTCGCTTTGACAGTAGAGGGCACTGGAGAGACACTGCAGGAGGAGTTCCTTTGGGCTCCTTCACCAGTCTTGGTAGCATGGGTGGCTTCTCCAGGGCTAGGTTCCTGCAATGTGGGCAGCCTCTCAAGCGCCTAGCGGGTGCAGTACAGCTTCATAACAGTAGCTGTGGCTGCTCCAGCACGGGTTCCTGCAGTGGTGGCAGCTTCTGCAGCACTCAGCACCACCTAGCAACCAGCAGCTGCAGGTAGTTTCATGACAGAATGGCTCCACTGAGATACTTCCTGAACACAGCTTTCCAGCACTGTACAGGGCAGATCTCCAGCAAGTCCTGGAGAATGGATTTAAAGCAACTTCCCCCAGTGTGGCACAACAAGAACTTCTCTACCTTTGCAAGCCACAGCCATGCTCTCTCCAACATGGTCTGGCCTTCAGCCTTAGAGGGCCTCTTCCCTACTAAGTGCTATCTCAGCCTTAGCCATAGGAGTAGTGGCTGCTGCTTATTACCTGCCATTCTTCTGTTCTCTAGAGTTCCTTTTTCTCTTCCATAAAGTCAAAGTGATACCTAATACCAAAATTAGACAAAGATTTTTAGAGACAAAAAATAGACAAATATTCCTCATAAATATAGATGCAAAACTTCTGAACAAAATTTAGCAAATCAAGTTCAAAAAAAGTCAATTTTTTTTTTTTTTTTTTTTGTACCAGGGATCAAACTTGAGACCTTGTGCTTGCAAGGCAGGCGGCAGAACCATGTAGCTAAATCCCCAGTCCCTCAACACAAGTCAGTTTTATGCAAGGAATTCATTGGTTTAATATTTGAAAAATCAATCAGTGTAACTCAGCATCATAAAGAACTAGCATGGATAAACCATATAACTATCTCAATAGAAACAGAGTAAGCATTTTGCAACATCCAAAACTATCAATTTGAAAAAATAACTAAACAATAATAGAACGAACCAAATTTTAAGATAAGCAAAATATTTCAACAACTAATTCACCAAAGAAATAGAAAGGGCAAATAAGTAAATGAAAAAATGATCAATGTCATTAGTCATTAGGCAAGAAAAAACAATGAGACACTCACTACCCAGCTAAATTGCTAATATTAATATATGCCTAGTGTTGGTGAAGTTGAGAAAATGGAATTTTCATGTACTACTGGTGAGAATGCAAATGGGAAAACCGCTTTGGAAAAGTGGGTTTTTTGGGGGGGAGGGTGTTTTATTTTTGGTTTGGGTTTTTTGAGACAGGTCTTTCTATGTAGGCCAGGCTACTGTACTTGAAACAAGATCCTCCTACCTCAGCCTCCCAAATGCTGGGATTACAGACATGTCCTCCATACCTGGCTCTGGGTTCTTTAAAAAATAAAATAAAATAACCGCACATTTACCATATGAACCGTCCACTCCATAACTATATTATTAGGCATTTACCCAGGAGAAAGGAAATCACGCACCTGTACATAGACTTGTACCTTGTTGATAGAAGCTTTGCTTTTTTTTTTGGTTGAGATGGGGTTTTTCTACATGGTTCAGGTTGAACTTAGACTCACTATGTAGCCCACGATGGCCTTGAATTCACAGCAATTCTCCTGCCTCAGCCTCCCACATGTCAGGTGGGCACCACACCTGGATGTAGAAGCTTTGCTTTAAACTACTCAAGAATTGAAAATATTCTAAATATCCAGTAATGACTAACTGGACAAATTGGGATAGCTATGCAAAATTACTCAGTAGTCAAAATGAGCCCTATAAAAAGGATTAATCTCAAAATTAATTATGCTGAGTGAAAGAAGCCATAAAAAAAAAAAAGTACATATGGGGCCGGGGATTTAGCTCAGTGGTTCTGCTGCCTGCCTTGCAAGCACAAGGTCCCGAGTTTGATTCCTGGTACCAAAAAAAGAAAGAAAGAAAAAAGAGTACATATGGTATGATAATTTTTTTTTAGTAATGATAACTAATAGTGGTTACCTGGGGACAGGTAACTAAGAAGATATAGAAGGGAGAGATTATAAAGGGACATGAAAAACATTTTGAAGCTGTCATGGTGGGATGTACCTGTAATCCTGGTACTCTGAGAGTTTAAAGCAGGAGGACTGCAAATGTGAATCCAGCCTGGGCAACTTTGTGAGAACTTGTCTCAAAATAAGAAAATAAAAAAGGGCTGGGGATATAGTTCAGTGTGAAGGCTCTGGTTCAAACTCCAGTGCCACAATAAAACAAAACAAAACTTTAGGGGTGATGATTATGTTCATTATCTTGTACCTTGACTGATAATATTATCTTGATTCATTAATTTCATGGTTTCAAAGGTGCCCAGACATATCAAACTTATAAAGTTGCATACTGTAAATATGTGCAGGATAGAATACTAATTTTTAAAAAAATCATTCTGGTTGATGACAGAAGAATATAGTAGCAGGAAGTAGGAGAGGATGCAGGAAGGCCAGTGAGGAGGGTGTTTGCAGGAGCAAGGTGAGAGATAGGGGTGACAGTAGAGAAAGAACAAATGAAGATATTCAGCATATTCTTCATGGATAAAGGGGACTTGATACAAGTTGGGTATAAGAAGGGAGGAGAATGGAGAATTACCAGTAACTCTTTTGTTTGAGGCTAAGCATCTGGGTGTACTGTGATACTACTGGTAGAGGATATAAAAGACTAAAGCAAAAATAGTTTGGCAGGGAGGGTGGAGTATTGAATTTTGTTTTGGACAAATAATCTAACTGTACACCAAGCTCCATCAGGAAGTGCCTGATGTATGAGTTTAAAATGCTTATTCATGGGATCTACTCCAGATCGAGTGAATCAGAATCACGAGGAAAACTGATTTTAACAAGCTTCCCAGGTGACTAAAATCCATATTATAGATTGATAGCTACTGGACCTCATTCTCCTCTTCTTTTTTTTTGGCACCGGGATTGAACTCAGGACCTTGGACTTGCAAGGCAGGCGGCAGAACCACTGAGCTAAATCCCCACCCCTCATTCTCCTCTTTTTGTCTTCTTCCCATCTCTCCTTCCTTTTCCCTCTCTGCCAATTCTTCCTGGAAAATTAGCTGAGTTAAGAAGGCACTGGAGGTGTAACAATTATAAACATATCATAGCATAGATATCCCAACATACGTGAAGCAAAAACTACTAGAATTAACAAGTGAGTCCAGCAAAGTTGCAAGATACATGATCAATATACAAAAATCAATTATTTCTATATACTTGCAAAGAACAAATCCACCTTACAATAGCGTGGAAAAAATGAAATTTAGGAATAAATTTCACGAAAGAGGTACAACACTGAAAACTACAAAATACTAAAAGGGATTTAAGACATAAGCAAGTGAGAAAACATCCAGGTTCCTGAAATGAAAGGCTTAATTTCAGATGGCATATGCATCAAAGTAATCTATGGATTCAATACATTTCCCATCAAAATCTCAGCTGTTTTTTTTTTCCAGAAATGAACAGTCTGATTCTAAAATTTACACAAAGTATAAGGGACCCAGAATAGTCAAAACAGTTTTGAAAAAGAATAGATTTGAGCAGGAGAATCATTTGAGCCCCATGAGTTCAAGGCCAGTCAGGGCTATATAGAGACCTAGAGACCCCATTTAAAAAATGAAAGAAAAAGGGACAATTATTCGGGGTAGTGGCACATGCCTATAGTCCCATCATTCTATGAAGCTGAAGCAGGAGGATCACAAGTTTATTAGAGGCCAGCCTGGGTAATTTAGCAATTTAACAATACCCTGTCTTCAAACAAAAAATAAAAATGGCTGGAGATGTAGCTCAGTGGGAAGGTCCTAGGTTCAGACCCCAGTAAAGCACACACACACACACACACAAGGTATACACACACACACACACACACACACTCACAAGGAAAATGAAGTTGAAGGATGGTCAACTGATTTTTGTTTTGTTTTTTGGTATCGGGGATCAAACTCGGGACCTTGCACTTGCAAGGCAGGCACCGGAACCACTGAGCTAAATCCCCGGCCCAAGGTCAACTGATTTTTGATACCAGGGATTGAACTCAGGACCTTGTGCTTGAGAGGTAGGTGTGGTGCCACTGAGCTCAAACCCCAGGCCTAGTCAACTGATTTTTCATGAAAGGTGCCAAGACAATTCAACAGGGAAAAAAAAGTCTTTTCAACAAGCAATGCTGGACACTGGAAATTAATATGCAAAAGAATGAAGTTGGACTCTGTGCCATATATAAAAATTAAGTCATTTAAAAAAATCTTATGTGTATTTTAACAATTAAAAAAACCTAAACGCAAAAGCTAAAAGTATAAAACTGAGAGGAAAACATAGGTGTAAACTGTAATGACCTTGGATTAGACAGTGTTTTAAGATATGAGTTCCAAAGCTCAGGTAGCCAAAGAAAACTTAGGTAAAATGAGCGTTGTTAAAAATTGAAAACTTTTGTGCTTCAAAAGGTATTATCAAGAAGTTAAAGGGACAGGGATGTAGCTCAGCGGTGCAGCACCTGCCTGGCAAGCATGAGGTCCTGAGTTTGATCCCCAGTTATAAAAAAAAAAAGAAGTTAAAGACAACCTACAATAGGAGAAAATATTTAGAAATCATTATTTGTTAAGGGACTTGTATGTGGAATATATTAACCCTTAGAACTCAATATAAAAAGATACATAATTTAATTTTAAAATGAGTAATGGAATAGACATTTTCCCAAAAAATGCATATACAAATGGCTTATAAGGACCTGGAAAAACGTTCAGCATTGTTAGCCATTAAGGAAATGTAAGTTGAAACTACAATGAGTTTCTCTGTACCCACTAAGATATCTATCATAAACAATGGACAATGATAAGTGTTAGGAAAGATGCAGAGAAATTAGAACCCTCATATATTTCTGATGGGAATGTAAAATAAGGTAGTGACTTCAGAAGACATTTTGTAAATTCCTTAGAAATTTAAACATAGAGAGCTGGGGATTTAGCTCAGTGGTTCCATGGCCTGCCTCACAAGCACAAGGTCCTGAGTTTGATCCCCAGTACCAAAAAATTTTTTTAAAAAGAAAAGAAATTTAAACATAGAGTTGCCACAGGCGAAGCAATTCCGTTCTTTTGGATATACCCAAGACAATTGAAAACATACATCAACACAAAAACCTGTACATGAATATTCATAGCAACTTTATTCATAGTGGCCAAAAAGTGGAAACAACCCAAATGTCCATGTCTGATCAAGGGATAAATAAATGTAGTATATTGATAAGGTGGAGTATTATCCAGCCATAAAAAGGAATGAAGTACTATTACATGTTACAACATGAATAAACTTGGAAAATATGCTATGTTAAAGAAGCTAGTCATGAAAGAGTATCTATTAAATGATTCCATTTATATGAAATGTCTACAAGAGACAAATCTATACAGATAGAAAGTAGAGTTTCGGTTTGTCAAGAGCTGAGGAGAGGGGTTGGAGATAAATGGGGAGTGACTGCTGACAGGTACAAGGCTTCTTCATGGAGTGATTAATATATCCTAAAACTGACAGGCAATGAAAAAAAAATTTTTTGGTACCGGGGATCGAACTTGGGACCTTGCGCTTGCGAGGTAGGTGGCGGAACCTCAGCTAAATCTCTAACAATGAAAATATTTTTTAAAATATTGAATCACACAATTTAAGTTGGTAAAATATATATGAATCTTATATTCGTAAAGACATTAAAGTTAAAAGCACTTGTATGTACACAGACACAAAGAGAAGGCATTGTTTTAATGCATAGGGTCATGCGGTATGTTTAGATAGGTGATCCTAAATATGAGAAGAGTTAATAAAGAGTTCCCACAGGCCGGGGATTTAGCTCAGTGGTTCTGCCGCCTGCCTCTCAAGCGCAAGGATCTGAGTTCAATGTCCGGTACCAAAAAAAAAGGGGTTCCCACAAAACTTAGAGCATTATCATTGGCCTACTTTAATAGGTGAAGAAACTGAGCTCTACAGGTGGTGTAGCTAGTACAAGATGGAAGCCACAGTCCAACTAGGAAGTTAACAGCAGGGCTGGGGCTTTACTTCTACAAGACTCTCCTGGCAGGAACATGTGTCTCTGGTCTGAGATAAAGGCAGGGAGGAGAACATTCACTGCTAAGAATCTCTCCAGGAGACAGCTCTCTCTCGCTATGCCAACTCCTCACTGCTCAGCAGAAAGCCCTCATCATTTGGGTGCCCACCATCTGTTTAATAGGCATTGTAGAAGTCTTGGTTTCTGCTAGTTCTAGAGCAAAATTCAGGACAAAGCAATCTCTTTACAAATATTCAGCACAAGGCTTCTCTCCTTTGGGGAAGTATGAAGTAATGTCTGTCTACCAATATGAATTTAGCTAAGAATGATGAGAGAGAAAGCTTTGTGATACACCTCCTGATCGAAGAGCAACCTCCCCAAACCCTTAAGAACATCAGTGGTAGTAAGCTATTTTTGAATGCTGAGGACAGCGTTAATAGTTAAGCCTCAGAACAGACTTCTGTTCTTCACAAGACATTTCTGTGCTTTCACTAAAGTTCAGGGTTTGTTTAACCATCATTTGTGTCTGATTATCAAATAAATACGGGGACCTAAATCTTTGCATTTTAGACTGTTTCTGTGAGCTAGATTCCCAGATGTGGAATAATCCTGAGTCAAAGGGTATGAACAGTTTTTAGTTCTTGATCCACACTGACAAATTGCTTTGCAAAAAAACTGAACCAATTTACACTCTCACCAGCAGTGTATGAGAATATATTTATATGCAAATCCCCAACTGCAGAACATCTTTTTCTTAGGTATTTCACTTAAAAAAAATTTTTTTTAATGCTAAGCAAAAGCTGACCCAGGATGTTAAAAAAAGAAAGTCTAGTGTAAAAGTGGAGCAGATATTAAAACAGCTCTTAGGCAGAAATAAGCGTTAGAAAGGCTTGAAAGGATGATAAAAATTTTGAGGCATCATGGCAAGAAGCACAATTCTAAAGAGACCATTAACAATCTGGTTTAGATTGAGATAGTAACCGCCAAAAATGCTGGGCGTGGTCAATGCACTAAAATTCTAGTTTAGAAAAAGCTGGATATTTCATTCATTTATACATCACTTTGTTCTAAACACGACTTAAAATACGTACAGGCAGGATTTGAGATATATTATGAACAATCAATCTAGTGAAAAGGAAAAAACATTTTCCTCCAGTACCGCGAGGAGGGCCTATCTCTCCCTCAGGACGCCTCGTCTGGGTAATCTGAGTCCAACTCCCAACCACAAGGGCCGCCTCCACCTCTAATAATGGGGCACAGTGATTTTAGGGGAATGGGGATGGGCAGGCAAGAGGAAGCCCAAACTCGGGGTACCAACCTACTGAGCTCTAGCCAACTCCAGAGGCGCTGGGACCTTTAGGCTCAGCCGAGAAAGCCCCCTGTCCCTATTATTTAGGAAACCGCCCCGTGCCGCCTGCGAGTCTTCTATTACTTCTCAGTGCCCCTCCGATCGCTTCCACCAGCAAGAGCGGACAGCCGAGGTGGAGCCAGAAACTCGATTTCGCCCCTTCCCACTTCTCCTCACTTTTGTTCCTCTTTCCTGATTCCTCTCCCTCCTCTTTCCTTTCTTCTTCCCATCTTCCCCTTCCAGTCCCTTCTCGCCTCCTTCCCCTCCCTCCCCCAACGGACCGCTTCCACTCCTCTCCCGCTCCGAGTCTCTTCCCCGCCCCGCCCCTCCACTGCGCCAGCAGCCAATCAGCGCGAGGCCTCCCGCGGCCCCGCCCCTCCCGGGCCGTTCCGGGCAGGCCGGGCTGAGCCCAGGCCGCGCGCGGGTGCGGAGGGCGGTGTCGCGGGGCGGAGGCCGATGGGGTCTGGCGGACCGGTGGCGTCGGTGCCGGGCTCGTCCAGACCTGGGTGTGCGGGGTTGTGAGGGGCGAGGCGGGCGCTGAGGCCCGCCTGGGATGGGCCAACCCCGGCCTGGCGGGGCCGAGCCGGAGGCGCGGGCGGCGGGCAACGGGCGACGCGCGGGCCAGGCCTGCCGGGCGGGCTGCCCGGGGGCTGAGGTAGAAGTGGGCGCGGAGGAAGGGGCCGAGCCAAGGCGGTGGGTGGAGCGGCGAAGGGGGCGGAGGCTGGGCCGCTGCGGCCGAGCGGAGCGGCGCGCCTGTCCAGAGCTTGGCGGCGGCGGCGCCTGAGGAAGCGGAGGAGGCGGCGGGCCCGGACGAGTGCCCGGAGGTGGCGGACGAGGCGCCGGGGGTCCCCCATGGGCGGGTGTGTGGGCGCCCAGCACGACTCCTCGGGCAGCCTCAACGAGAACTCGGAGGGCACCGGAGGTAGGTGAGCGCCAGGGGGCAGCCTCGGCCCCCCATTGTTCCCGGCCAGGCCCGGCCACCTGTCCCGACCCCCGCGGCCGCGCAGACCCCGCACCCTTTGTCATCTGCTGCTCCACGTCACCCCCGCGCTCCGCTTCCGGCTGCCCCGCCGTCTGCGGGGGTAGCCCTGCCCTCCCGCCGCGGGAGAAAGTCCCCTGCGCGCCGGGGACGCAGCGCTCGGCCTCGCTGGCCGCATCGCCCGGCTCGGGAAACTCGGACCCGAAACTGCCCTTCTGGCCACCTCACTCCCTCTCCAGCCCTTTTAATTATTCAGGAACAGGATGGCGGCGCTGGGGTTGCAGAAAAGCGGATTGATGAGGGGTGGCGAGGAGCGGGAGAGAGCCTACTGCGTTCCCTCCGACGGGCCCCGCCACATCTCTCTCCGCACCCTTCCTTGTTCAGCAGAGTTGGCTGGGCTCAGCTTTCCCGAGTTTCAGATGACAGCTGCCCTGGTTGGTTCCAATTTGGCCATTTAAACCTGCGAGTTTCTGGAGCTCGGGTGGAGGAGTCTCAAGTGGCCCCGGGCATTACATTGAGGCGGGGGCAAACTCTCCTCGAGTAAAATGCGACTTTTTGGACTGGACTGGGGTTTGGGGCCAGTGTCCTGTTGGATTGGCCTCATCATATTCCGATTCCCCTTACATAAAAGGAAAATATGTAAAATAAAGGTACAAACTCATGAGAGTGAATTACCCAGTATAGGATCAGTTCTTTCAAAGTTTTTTTTTTTTAATAACGTGGAATGCGCTTCTTTAGCTTTATGATAAATAGCTATGTGCTAACAGGTATTTTAAATTTGCTTTATTGGTAGTTGTAGTATGTGGCAGAATAATAACAAAATTAATTCTACCTTAAGTGACCTATAAAGTGCTGAGTCTGTTCTTTAGTATGCGGAGAGGTTAGAATGCTTTAGTTAAAAGAATAGCTTTCAGGAGGAGCAAAGAAAGGGTGGTTTCATTTCGACCTGATGCTAAGGTGGTGCGGCCCATATTTGTAAGTTTCTAAACTAAATTGGGACATAGATGGGATTACAACTTCTTAATTTACTAACGTTTAGATCAGTTGCTTGCCCTATCACTTAAGCTCTGCCCATGAACAGTGTGTGCCTAACTTTATAGCTGAATTTCCTGGATTACATGATGTTCAGTCATGCCACTTCATTAAAATTTGGGTATCCTTATAATCCTGGACAGATAATGTGAGAGCTCAGTACACGTTGTCGTGAAAACAAGAGTCCCTGAAAATGCTACTTTATAGTGCATTTCATGTTACAGCATAGTCAATTGGTGGCACACTAATGAGATCCTCACTGGAAATAAAGGTAGAAAATAAAGGTCCGATTTAAAACAGTTTTGGGTTAAGGTCAAAGACATTTTTTGTGTAGTTGAGGTGATCATTAAGGGTACCCAAGAATGTTAGTACTTGTAGTGTTTTAATTTTTTCCACTCATGTTAAAATTGTAATAAATATTTTTCTCTTCTCTGTAATAAACTTGAACCAATTTTTTGAAGACTACCAGGCATTGTTAGTATGGAATTTTAAAACTATGAAATCGTGCATTTGGGTAATTTATTACCAGTGGTATCCAGTTAGATAGCTATAGTATCACTTTCTTTGAGTATTAAGTTCTTTGGACCATAAACACTGCTATACTTTTCCAAAGAAAAGTTTAAATAAAAAATATCAACCACCACAATTCTTTATTTTTTTCTGGAGGGTATTACCCTGGTATAACTGGGGTGGGAGAATGGGGTGTGGGATAAAAGGATTATTCCTGGAATTTAATTATGTATCCCCTTACTCTCCATCATGGTCATAATAGTTAAGAGTTAATTGTCATTTAATGAAATTAGCTCAGGTGTGTGTTTCAGGTTAAGTTGTTAAAGAGTTCTTTTTGGGAGGAGGTGCAAAGGGAAAGACTTTTTCCTGAAGATGTTGCTATGCATCCTTAGCTTTTCATATATACAATGGTGATTAGTAGTTTTAACTTGGATATATTGTTGCAAAAATTCTTGTTATCAACATGGGAGTATTGAAATTATGAACATAATTGTATGTTTATCAAGAAAAGCTTCCTTATTAGGTGGATTACTTTTCCGAAGGAATTTGGGGAATTTTTCCAAAAGATCATAGAATATGCAAATGAGTTAGTTTACATTATAAGATTCTTATTACCTAGTTTCGAATCATTTAGTATATTCCTCTGGCATACCTTGGCTATAATTCAGATTTGCTTTTATAAATGTCTAATTTATACCTGTTAGGTCTATCCTAGAAGCTGTGCAAGATTATTTGACAGTTCTCTCCAAGCTTTTATTTTCCTAGAATTTTCCATTGTGTTGACATTTTTAGACAGCATATTTTGCGTGGTTCTTTAGTTTATTACAATGACAGTGTGATGCAGGTGTTGGCCCTTCAGAGCTCTAGACAAAACTTTTAGCCATGGGATTTGCTAAGGAATTAAATCCCTTATGTTTTTTGTTTGTTTTTTGTTTTTTTGAGACAGGGTGTGCGCCACCACACCAGGCAATTTTTTTTTGTACCAGGGATCGAACTCAGGACCTTGCACTTGCCAGGTTGGTGCTGTGCTGCTGAGCTACATCCCTGGCCCTTATGATTTTTAAAATAAGAAATATGTAGGGAGAAACTAATAATTAAAGACAGCCAATAGGCTTATTTTCTAAATTCACTTTAACGAGAGTAATGATGTGTAAAGTAAGTATTCACTTGGTGGGCATGTCATTTATTCTGTACATTCAGGGATATTCCAAGAGAATTGGCCCAGTGATCACAAGTTTCCACATTTATGGGAAGATAACGAAATGCTGGACATCCATTGCTGTAGTCTTTTTCAGAGTATCTTGGGAACATCACAAAATTCTTTTAGATATTCATTTATAGCAGCCTTACAGACACCTACTTGATGAGTAACAGTAGTTTTTTTAATAACAGCTACCATTTATCTGGTATTTATTATATAACAGGTCTTGTGCTAAGGAATTAATAAATTCTCTCATTGAGGCCTCAACAAACCCATGAAGTAGATAGTTATCTATTTTATAGATGAGGAGGTTGAAGCTCAGAGAACTTAAAAAACTTGCTCAGTATTATGTAGCTCATGCATGGCGATACATTTAAACCAAGGCTACAATCAAGTGTGTGAGTTTCGGGCCGGGGATCTAGCTCAGTGGTTCTGGCGCCTGCCTTGCAAGCACAAGGCCCTGAGTTCCCGAGTTCAGTTCCCGGTACCAAAAAAAAAAAAGTGTGAGTTTCTCCTTTCCCTCCTTCTCTCCCTTTTTTTTTGTTTCATTTTATAAAATTGTGGTAAAATCTAACATAAAATTTGCCATTTTAACAATTTTTGAAATGTTTAATTCCAAGACATTAATTATATTCATAATGTTATACAACCATTACTGCTGCCATTTCCAAAATTTTTTATCATTCCAAACAGAAACTGCATCCATTAAACAGTATGTCTTGCCTTCTTCGTTCAACCCTTGGTAACCACTAGTCTTTACCTTGATGAATTTGCCAATTCTAAATGTTTCATACAAATTGAATCTCAGTATTTGTCTTTTGTATTTTATTTCATGTAGCATATCTCCCAGGTTCATCTTAGTGTAGCATGTATCAGTGTATAGTCTTCTTTATGGTTGAATAATATTTCATTGTATGTACTACATTTACGTTTACCTCTTCATCTGTTGGTATACATTTGGGTTGTTTATACATTTTGGTGTAAATAATGCAGCTGTGACTCTTGATGTACCAGTATCTGTTTTGACTACATTTTCAGTTCTTTTGGCTGAATAACTAGGAGTGGCATTGTTGGGTGGGTGGTATGGTAATTCTATGTTTATCTTTTTGAGAAACTGCAGTCTTTTTCCCACAATAGCTGTATCATTTTATATTTCCACTAGCAATGTCTTCACCAACTTTTGTTTTCCATTTTTTAATCACAGCAACGCTAGTGGGTATGAAGTGGTATCTCTTGGTTTTGATTTGCATTTCCCTAGTGAGTAGTGTTCTCAAACATCTTTACTTGAAATTGGTAGCCATTTATATATATTTTTTGGAAAAATTTCTGTATAAGCCCTTTGCTCGTTTTTTTTAATTTATTTTTTTTGGTGCTGGGGATTGAACTTGGGTCCTTGCACTTTCGAGGCAGGCAGTGGAACCACTGAGCTAAATTCCTGCCCCTTTGCTCATTTTTTAATGGGATATTTGGATTTCTTTTTCTGAGTTGTAGGAAT